GAGTTCTGCAGAGATCGAAATAAATGGTAGTCACAAGGTCCAGGCTATACGGTGGATGCATCAAAACTTCTCAACCATGCTTCCTCAATTTTTGGCGCGTCATCAAAGATATGTGTGGTCTGGCGTTGTCATGATGGAAGACAACACCTTTTCTGTTTATCAATTCTGATCGTTTTTTCTTAATCGCTTCCTGTAATCTATCCAGTTGTGAACAGTAGAGCTCTGAATTAATCGTTAGGTCATGTGGTAACACCTCATGATGGACGACTCCCTTCCAATCCCATCATACACACAGCATTACCTTATTTGCCGTCAATCCAGACTTTGAAGTCGTTTGTGGTGGTTCGCCACGCTTACCCCATGATCTTTTACGAATGATATTCTTATATTTTACCTATTTTTCATCACCTGTGATGATTTGCTTCAGAAATGGATTCGATTTCGTTACGTTTAGTAGTGTTTTGCTGATGGAAATTCGATCAATCAAATTTCTTTGCGTTAATTCATATGGCACTCAAACATCGTTTTTTGCGTTTCTTTGCGTAGCCAGCCTTTTTCAAATGATTCCAAACTGTCACATGATTGATTCTTAGTGCATTGGCTATCTCCTGACAGCTCACATGCCGGTTTTGCTCGATCAGTTACAAAATTTCATCGACTTTTTCAGTGACTGGCCGATCAGAGCGAGGTTAATCTTTAACATCAAAATTTCCAGAACGAAATCGAACAAACCACTCCTGCGTCCTGAGTTCACTTACAGCATCTGCGCCGTAAACTTCACAAATTTTTCTGCATGTTTGTGTTGCGTTTTTGCCTTTTTTTGTAGTAAAAAAGCATCACATAGCGTATTTCATCAGAAATTTCACTCATTTTCAAACCAATATAACTTTTGACACGATTGATGAATTACTAAATTTTGTTTACAAAAAATGTAACCTAAAATGTCATCTTTCAGATGCGCGTTCGTTTGATACAATCGGATTAGTGTTGCCCGATATATGACCATCAACACCATCTAGTGACAAAAAACGCGGATACTTTTTAAATGATCCATATATTTTATATTTCAAATATTTTATAATACATTTTGCCTAGCCCTGTGTACGCGCGCGCGCGTGTGTGTGTGTGTGTGTGTGTGTGTGTGTGTGTGTGTGTATAGGGTGTCTGGAAATTCGTCAGCACAATTTCTTGAAATGATTTGGGACCCAGAAGGAAAAAGAAAAACTATGATGTAAATGTAGATCAAGAAATTACAGTCATTTCTAAGATAGATAAGACTTAAAAGATAATAAAATTTATAAAAAAGAGGAATGCTAAACGGACTATACCTCCACTGATGCATCCTGGGTAACGCCAAAATAATCCGAAGTTAAACAATTTTTTAATAAAAGACTATAACTCAAAACATATTTCAACCTATTTCCAGACCTATGTTTGTAGCTTTTTTCCACCTTTTTGGGCCCTGAATCACTTCAAGAAGTAGCGGACGAATTTCAGGGAACACACACATACATACACGCACGCACGCACGTACGCATGCATCCTTTTCTATAATATCCTTTATAATCCTTTTCTGTAATAAATCATTAATTTATACATAAGAATGAAATGATACATAATGGAATCATCTTTATTATTCCCTATTATACTCTATGATATTTTTACATTGTTCATAATACAGCTTATTTCATCAGATAATAATGAAATAAATTCTATTTATTTTCTTTACAATTCTTTAATAATAACTGTTCTGTGGACACAACATGACTATTAACAAGATAGATAAAATAAATTGAATATTTCTAATTTATTTATGTCTATATAATTTGGGAATTGTTTGGGGAAATTTGGGAAAAGCATTTAAACATTTAGGAAATAGTATTTTTCTTGTAATAAATTTTATCATGTCAAGTTAGCAGACAGCGATTTTATTTAATGTGTTTTATGAATCGATTAGAAATCTTTTGGAGAAGATGTCTTCATTGTTATTTTCATTTGGGAAAAGTCAGAAAAATCACTATTTAGTAATTTAATAGATTTATACTATGATATAATGTTACATATTATGAAAACGAACAAAGCCCGGGTGTAGTATAAGTGTAGTACAATATAATGAATATAGTAAACCTAAAATCATTAAAAATTAATCAATTAAGTCCGGATCTAATTGCATAGTAAGAAATTATATGTAGTAAGAAATCAACTTAATCATAAACTTAATTATATTTGATTAATTTTCTTCACTTTTAATTGGTTCACTTATGATTGGTCAATTCTTTATGGCTTAAGGCTTTCTACATTTATTGTACCATTCGAATGAAGTTTGAGAACGCAATTTAATATTGGAATATTCGGATTTCGAAGTAATAAACTTTGAACATAAAAATATACAATGAGGAAGAAAATTTGTTAATACATGTTATTTTCTTAATTTATAAATATTATTATTATTTAAATACAACTTCAAGAAGAAAAATTTTAATATTTATTCTTTATTTTTGTTATTTTTCAGTAAAGACGGACAGATGTATTATGTACATACATACATCTAACAAATATTTAAATATTTCTTCTAGATGTGAAAGCAATTTGCATTAATTTATAAAATATGTATATTTATTCATTTAATGATTATTATACACATATGCATCTACATATATGTTTCTGTAATTTCTAAGATCGTAACCTGCGATAAATAATTGTTGAATTTGTGATGTTATCTATGGATATCATCAATATATATATATATATATATAGAGTCACACACTTTCCGTATAGTAAGGAATTCCTCACAATAAAAGGAACAGGGAATAGTAAGGTTTTCAGGGAATAGTAAGGACTAATCGCGTTGCTTGATTGTTACGGACCTAGATTCCACTGAAGATTTAATCCGAATCAGAATGTAAGAACCAACCAACTACAGTCGAGCATTACCCTGTCGTTCGATTGTAACAGGAAAACTTAATTATAGTTGGTTGGTTCTTATGTTGTGATCTGGATTAAACCCTCGGAAACTAAGCCACGGTTACGGTTACTGTTACGGAAAGTGTGTGTGACTAGCTTAATGCGTGATCTATAATAGCAGTAGCAATAGTGGATGGTTATAAGAATAAATTGACCAATCACAGTCGAATGTGAGAAGAATAATTGATTGTGATTGATCAATTTCTTACTCTTACAACCTCATCCGTTACTGATACTGCCATTGTAAACCACGCATAATGTAGAACCGGTTTTATGCATCATCTACAATACATGGAGTAAAAAATAAAAGTAATGGCCTTTAACGGGCCTATGTTAATTTTGAAAATGTTTTATCGCCGATCTCACCTGTTACACACCTTGACAGAAAAGCAGAAAAGCAGAAAAACAGCAGATAAGTCCCGCTGGTAGTTGACATTTCGGCTTTCTATACTACTTATTTTACTATCAGCACGAATTCTCATTAGCTGCTTTTCCGTTTTCTGATTTTTCCATTAAGGAATGAATGCGCCCTTATTATTTATTAAGCCGGTTCTACATTAGTTGCAAGTCGATCGCAAGTTCGTTGCGAAAGCCAATATGAAGCGTTGATTTCAAAAGGCAAGCTCTAGATTGGCTGTCGTAACAAACTTGCGATCGGTAGAACTGGCTTTAGATACCCGGTCACTCTATTACGTAGTATCATCGCATGGTTTTCTATTATTAATTTTTTTTCGTTTGACATTTCATACTTCTAGTCAAACAGGAAACATTCAAATTAATTCCCACAGGTTATATTTATTCTCTGTATGACGATAACATTTGCGTGAAAGAGAAGAATAGTGGTCTTCCCGACATAACAAGAGCATAAAATATCTTATCTAAACTATAATATTGTGGTTTGTTATAATTCTGAATACAGCCAATATAAAGAAATCATATGATTCTATTTACAAAATGGAAAATCAATTTTACATATAATTAATAAGAAATAAAGATCTATAATGATCGAAGCTGGATCTTTGCTTAAATAATTCCATGTATCTATATGTATTAAAATTTATATGTATTATACAGTAAGGTCTAAAAATTCTGGAATGGCTAATATTTCAAAAAGTATTGATTTATATTTATGAAAATTTTGATTTATATTTATTTAAATTATTTGGAAAAATATTTCAGACAAAGTTATAGAGAGTTTAAAAAGATCTATATACTAATCTTATTCCACACACACAGTTTATTCTTGGATGGCATCGCCAATGTCAAGATCGTATCGATTTTATTAAATGATATGCCCTAGCTATTTTTTATTCCAGAATCTAATAGATGAGGTGTCAAGAACTTTTCAAAATATAATAAAGTTCACTTTCATCAAGTATTTTTAAAATTATGAGGCTTGAAAATTACAGTACTATCGACGTTACCATTATCCAAGGTGTCCGATCAATAGTCGAAACATTATTCAAGGTCATGTCCTAGGGATCAATTCTGTTTCTTCAAACAAGGTGAAAGTTACAAAAATGAGCGAACTTACTAGAATATTGATAATTTCATTGTGTCATGTTAACACTTAGTAAATTTGAATCGATCTCCTGGATAACATTTATTAAAATCAAGATCATAGAAAGTTACTCTTATTTTCATTTGTTTTACTAAAAAAATTCATTTTTACGTAAATTGGGCTTATTCGACGCGTTTTTACATTTTTATAAACGAAAGAAGTTAACTACTATCAGGTTAAGAAATTTGTCAATTCTGTTACATTGATGACATATAGAGGGATATAAGAATAAGGCTACAACAAATATTACTTATAAGATCATAATATGAACAGGAAAATGTGTATTTCTAAGTTTTTTACACAGCCCAATTTTATAATTTTTTAAAATTCATGCAGTGATAGAAAACTAGTTATAGTAGAAAATTTTTAATTTTTTTCATATTACATCCCTTAGTAAATAATTCTTACAGTTCTAGTATATATATATTATGTAATATTATATTATAAAATATAATTAAAATTTATATTTATTGCACTATTTTTGCCAAAAGGAGGTCATTCTGAAATTCAAAGAGAATTACTATTACAAGGATAGGTTTTGTAATATATTTTGTATACATGTTCATATATTAGCAATGTTGTAGAAA